CTAGTTATAAATATATTTATTCTTTACTGTCGGGTCACTTATTACAGGTTCAGCGAGTTGCACGAGACTGACGGGCTGTCAGGAGAGGGAGAGGAAAAGAGATCGCCCTGTTTATTTTTCCCATTTTTATTATCCAGAATTACTGTATACCTTTGAATAAAGTAGTTAATCTACTATTAGTAGTTTGTTTAAATGCATTCATTATGTTTTTTCATTAACATAAAATAAATCTCACGTACCCCCTGCAGTACTCCAACGTACCCCTAGGGGTCCGCGCACCCCCATTTGAGAACCACTGCTTTAGCTGGTTCTGTGAATGCATAGACAATAAGAACGGTGCCAATATGACATTTTACATTATTGCCAACAGTATACTACCATTTATAAATTGCATTATAAAATGCTGAATAAATTAAATTTCATCTAAAATATTCCAATATAGATTAGAGATATCCTATAATAAAATGCTTAGATCTACAAATATGGAAGTATATTTTAATGGCATAGGAGCAGAACAACAATGGATGTATTTGAATGATTAGTTGATTGCATGAAGAGACAGCCCTACAGTACAATGATCCGTATTCCAGACATACTTTTAATATGAATACAGCAAAAACAATGTATTACTAAAATTGAGCTTTAATGTATCTAATGGCAGTTGGCACATTGGCTAGTGCAACACACAGCCAACAGCAGTTAGAATCAGTGACCCATAAACATTGAAAAGCCAACCGATTGTCAGTGTTTTTGCTGTCAGTCTTTAGAGGACGGGTCAGGATATCTGACTGTGTATGTGTGTGTGAGTCTGTGTGTGTTTTCGAAGATAAATGTCTCCCGAAGGAGGAATTTATTTGAAAAGAGTCTCCCATGACCTGGGTTGATCTTGCCCCATTCTTCGGTGGGGGTTGTGCGTGCACATGTGTGTGCGTGCACTGCTGTGTACATGCTTGGGGATTTGCAAATCTGTCTAACGGCTGTGCCCCCCGAGGACAGGAGTGCGCTCCCAGCAAAGGCTCATAGCGCTAATCTGAACGACAGCTTGGACCAGCATTCAGCCGGGAAACAGCCCACCAGCAAGGTCCAAATACCTGACTGCAGGATATCTTATCTGCCATGAGAGGACAGAGGAGAGGCAGACATTGTCCCCAAGTGCTGCCTGTCTCACTCTCAGCTTCTCTTTCCTTTTACATGTTATTTTCAGCACTACACTGTAAGACCTACACTTCTCTGGACACAGCTCAGTTTGACAGACTCAAACTAAAAGGCAGTGGGATGACACTGTCACTGTATCCTTCTGCAGGCATTTGAAAACAAAACAACTTTAACCTTCACCCCTGATACTTTGTATCAAACCTAGACATACATGCATTGAAGTTGTATGCATTATACTTGAAAGGGAAAAACAAGAAAAATAAGGTATATTATTTCAGAAAAATAATGCTCATATACATAATGATATTCAAAAAAGAAATACACTTTGAATCAGATACTTAGAGTTTGATCTGACTAAATACTGATTCATGTTTGTAATGCTGTTGTTGTTGTTTCTACTACTTATAAGGCAAAACTACAAGAAACTCTTGCCACGTCAGTGAAACACCCCCACAAGCCATCTGCCTCGTTTCTTCAGGAGAAAACTGTGAGCCTATAGAGCTAAGATGCTGACTCATCAATCAGCGGGGCTGTTTTACAGGCAATCCAACGCAGCTTGAACTAGATGACCCTCATAATTGAATATTAAACCCCCGATGAGTGGCAAGGCAAACCGCTGTGATGCCAACTAGAGCCTGTGATATGTTGCTAGCTGAGATGCATGTAAAAGAGTGTCAGTGGCATCCTGCGAACCCCGAGGTTATTCTGTCACACTGTCATAATTTCAATCTTTGAGATAAGAAACATCATCAACATGTCCACAGACGCACACCCACACTCACACCGGGTCCCCAGATGCAAGTAGGCTGAATGTACATTGCACGCATGGTGCTGTTGAAGGAAGCCTGAAGACATTGCCTTTTGTTCAGTTAAATCAAGAAATAAACGTGGCTTTAGGTGGTTTTTTTGGTCCCTGTTCAATGCAGCAGGCTGAATAACAAGCAGGGTATTTGTAGACTGCAACATATTTAACGAGACATTAATCAGCGACTTGTGGCTCTTGCAAACAAATGTAATGTCTCATAGACCAAAGCTAAATGGTGAGAGACTGGTATTTGAAAGAGAAGTTTTTATTATCTACAAAATCTGATCTCGTCTGAAATGGATGTCGAGTTGGATTATGATGTGGGAAGGTACTCTTGAAAAGTTCAAAAGGATACTTTGTGTAACGTTTCAAATCAGTTCTTCAAAAGAATGAAAAATAATTTTTTGCAACAGAGATACAACCTTAATGTTTATAGGGGAGAACATTGTTTTTTTTTACACCTGAGCATATTCACAGGGTGACAGTTAAAATGTGAGTGAGAAGTAAGATGATTTTTGAATGGTTTCCTTTATGATTTAAAGTTAAAGTCAACTTTTGGAGTTACCATGAACTTACTAAACATCGTGTATGCAGTGCCGTTGGTACTTGTGGCAATCATGGAAATATGTAAACAAAACAAAGCAAAGCAGACCACATCAAACACATTTCACAGGAAGCTGGAGTGTTATCCTTCCACCAACTTTAGCAAAGCTGAAACAACATGTCGAGCCCCCTGCTGTTTCAAGAGGCTCTCCATGGAAGCACAGCCAGTAGGCTGGCTCTTAGATAAATGCCTCTTTCAGACTCAAACTGGCATCAGATCTTGACAGACAGCCCAGAATAAAAACATCCCTGTGACGGGCGTCCTTTCAGGCTAACTGTTCTGTGAGTATAATGTGATTAAAATGTACATCCCTAAGAAAACAAAGAACGTGACCAATATATTTTAAAGATGAACTGCTCTGACAGGCAGCACAACAAAACCGAGATTAAGATATATTTAACTTCAAGTAAAACTGCACTGCAACGTTAGGATCTCTTACTCAGTGTTTAATAGAGTCAATCTAAAAAGGACGCATAGGAGTACTTTCCTTTTATTACAAAGCTAACATATTTTAATCAAAAGAGCACTTATTATGCATGGCTTCACTATATGTGGGTCAGTTACATCTGTGACATTTTCATATTTAATGGTGGCTTTGATGTGGCGTAGTGGAAGTGGGATCCACAATTTAAGCTCAAATTGTTAATGCTTATAATTATGTATGGTAAATATCTAAATATAAATACATTTAAAACACAGTTCACTATTGACATAAGTCCTCAGTCCCTTCTTTAAATAATTTGGTGGCCCTCTTTTGGGGCTTTTGTTTGCTCGAGGCAAAACTTCACCAATCTGCTCGCAGAGACGTAAATGTGCTTCAAGCTGCAGAGTCCACCAGGAACGCCACTGTGCAGTAGGTGTTTGCATTTATTCTTGGATATCTTTGCACCTGCAACATCAACACGGAACGCCAACTCTCTGTCACAGCTATAATCATCCGAGCAGGTGGCTGATGACCTGGCTTTCCCTTCGAAAAAGGCACTGCTCTTGTCATTTTTATAATGTCTTAATAATTATCATCTGAGGGTGTAACTGGGGGGTGAGAGATATAGACAGAGAGAGCAGGCAGCACCCTGTAGATGCATGATGAATGAGGGTGTCAGCTGTCTTCACCCAACTATAGCAGCACAGTCTCTGAGAGGGTTTGACCGCATGCTCTGAGACCTATCTCATTAAACACAGTGATCATGCATTAACAAGAGAACAAGAGAAAGGGATAGAGTGGAGACATGTACATAATTTTCTTTAATATGTGAACTACCAGAAGTGTAATAGCTGTTTCAATGCATTACACACACTGCTCATTCTATATAATCTAACACTTTAGAGGGCAACATATGTGTGTCATGATCATCTGGACTAAATTCGTTTTTTTTGGTAATAACTATTTATTTTAACACGTAATTTGTTATTTAGTAGTGTTGAATAGCAAAATTAGAGAAAGGGACAGGCAGGGCACAACACTGGAGTCCACTTTCTTGCTCTCGTTGTTTAGGCAACCTGCATTATTGATGTGGAGCTGACACTTTACACTCTGCTTTCTGGACACACAGTGCCTGTCACCTGAAGCTCTGTCTCCACAATAACCATACGGACATACTGCCAGTGCTCCAAAATCATGCAATATGGCTATGGGGACTTTTCAGGGACACTATTGGATTGTATTTGTGAGTTTGTGGTGATGTGCTTCACTCTATATTGTATCTCGCTCAGTATACCTATACACTGTAGCAGTGATATTCTGTTTCTCAAACGAAGAATGAAAAACAAAAACACATTCATAACTTTGAAGGTCAATTGCCTATAATGGCTGTTTCAAATTTGTTTCACCTAGAATACTATCTACTATACTGTGCCTGACTCTGGCTGGCATCAGGGGCGTGGTTGGGAGAAGTTCAGGTCAGTCCCTATATGATCTTTCAGTATGCTACTACACTAAGTTTGGACTTATGGTTGCTGGAAACATAAACATACTTTCAGCAAGCTTCAAACTTATAGAGCACAGTTTAACAAAATAGATATCACACAAGAAAGCAACATTACAGCAACATTATCCAGATACAACAATTAAATATGCCTATAGTGTAGTTTTGGGGCTCTTCAGTTTTCACCATGCATGTGTGTGCCATTTTGAAATACTAATTAATTAATATTAAGTTCATGATGTAATGCTGACGTAGTACACACGAGAATTGCAGACCACCTTTGCTCTCTCACTTGTTTTCCAAATTCCCAGTCCACACTTATTGTTTTCATTATGCCTCTTTCTGCACGTGCAAGCTTCTCGTTCAAGTGATATGATTGATAATCATTTTGCAAATCCCGTATCCATTCAACAGCCTTGCACATTAAGCAACTAACAGTGTTTTTATGTAAACAGTTTGCACGTTACTCTGCCTGTTCCCTAAAAACCCAAAAGAAAGAAGCTCAGCCTACCTTGGTTCACCGTGACAGCTCCGCACGTCGACTTGTAGCAGTGGCGGGCAACAATGTGCCGCGGATCACAGTTGGAAAGCGTAGAAGTTTTTGAGGAGTCAGAGACAGATCGATCACACACACGTTGTGTCTGTGCTATGCTGTTTCAGACACCACCGTGGAGTGATTAGGACTACGCCCCTAAACAAAACTGATCTGCTTGATTCGCCGCCGGACCATTAACGCGTGTTTAAGATGTTGCTGTCCAACTCGGATGTGCGCAACGGTGCGCTTCCTCCTTCTCCGAACGTGGTGCCAAATCTAAACGCTCCCCAAGGACACGTGATCAACCCAAGGGGGACTGAAATAGCTCTAATCCCCCCCACGGCAGCAGCTGGGATCGGTTACCGCTGCTCCACTGCCCGTGCAACAAACTCTAGCTGTGTGCACCCACACTCCTCCTCCATCTCTCCCATCCCCAGTGGCCTGACGGTGTCGCTCTCATTTTCATCTTCAGATGGACAGAAGGCAAGATTTCTACGTGGAAATGCACCTGTCTAGAGTCAATATTCAGATGTAACACAGCTAGATTGAGTGGTTGTGATAATACTGTATAGACCCTAACATTAAATACATTTATTAGGCTATAAAGTGTTATTTGGTGTAGATTTATTCTGATTACTTACCTTGTTCTTAAGCAGTGCTCCAAGCTATCTCTTTCTTCTTCTGTCTTTCTTATGTTTAACTCTAAACAAAGCCACAGTACCTTAAAATCAAAAACAAAATAATCAAGAGATTCACAATTTGTATTGTTTGATATACAAATATTTTCTTTCAACAAACTTTAACTTTGATAGTTGCTTATTTAGCTACGAGTATTTCATGCCATAGTTCATATAACTACATACAAAGAGTTTAGAGTTTTAAAAAGAACAACGTTAGTATAATTGTAGAATACATTTATGGCTGATTCCTGGTAGATGAATGTGTCTGTGTGTACTGTTAGGTATAGGTATTAGGTATTAGCAATAATGCAATATATATATATATTCCTTTTAGTCAGTCAGTCTCACATTCACAGAATTGGACAGTTTTGTTAGCGAAAAGGAGGTCTGCTCTTACCTTTAACATCATTAGCTTGTGTTTTGGTGATCCACCAATATGGCACCTTATCTTTGGCCACTTGATGATTGATAACCATGTAGCATCCTCGGCTGAAAAGCCTTTGGATAATACTCCAAAATCATGCCTTGAACCCAACGGAAGGGCTTAAAAGAAGGAAAACAAATATAAACACTTCTTTCTTGACAATAAACTTCATTGTAGCATTTCTTCAGACCATGTAGCAAAACCAAGGAGGGCTAGCATGAAATTAGGCAACGTTACATAAGCCAACATGGCATCCTTGCTAGCTCTGCCACGCTCCCCCAAATAAGCCAAACTCCTAAAATAGATAGCCACATTGATCACCATATGTAACGAAATATCGGTAAACCTTGTGACTTTATCGGCCTGGAGCTAAACAACACAAAACAAAACTTTATATTGAAAGACACACCTGCCGTTTTTTACCGGCATTACTCTTTCAAAATAAAAGCACACTCTTTATGCTAGCTAACACAATAAAAGTAACATAGCCTTCAGAAAACACCACCAAAAGAGCACACATGAAAAACCACCGATGATCCTATTTTACCTTACCCAACATTTTATTATAAGATATAATGAGATTTGCTTTTACCTCCTTTTTTACTTGAGCCAGAAATTCCCTTAGGATATATCTGGAATTATCTGACATACCTGGGACTCCTGCCTGATTTATGTTTGAGGCATCAGTGAGGGATTCATAGAAGTCAGTCTGAGGCTATGAGAAAACCTAATACTAAAATGCATTCCACTCCCCTTTGATGTTTTTTGACATACAGTAGCACGTGACCATAGTCAGATGGTTTAATATCTCACATGATAAGTGCAGGAGTTTATTTTTTCAACTGTCAGTGTGCAAAAGTTTCAAAGTGTAGAATCCAGACATGTACAATTATTCAAAGATGTACTGTAGGCAATGTAAACAACTCTGAGAAAGGGATGCAAAGTTTAGGTTTTCCATTCAGCAGTGCATGTTATATTAATAAACCCCATTTGGTCTCTGCATAAAACAAATGTTTATTGGTTTGGACCATGGAGGAATACTAGAAGTGCTACAAACAGGCAAACACCACAGAAAATGTCCCTGGTGTACAGTTTGCATTTGCAACAGGATTGAGTTGTGACCTGGTTAACTTCTGACCATTGGGAAATTACATATTTAAAATGAAGTGAATGTAGTAATGTCTCAAACAGATTACGTTAATGTCAAGCTCAACTGTGTAAATATATGAAAAGCTAAAGTAAATCTGCTCAGCATTTGTGTAAACTGGTTTTTCTTAGAATCAGAAAAGCAGCATAACATTTTGTAATGTTTAACCTTCTTATTTTTGTATATTTGGGATTTTAGTCTGTGTTTCTCAGATGTCAGTTAATGCAGTTAAAGTAGGGCAACAATTGAGACCTGTGAGGCTAAACCCACCTCTTCAACTACTTGTGGTCAGATTTTGAAGGTGGGCGGATGGAAACAGCATTGCTTGTAGCCGGCTGTGCACACGCAGGCAGGGTAATGCCACATCATTACTGATGTCAGTCTGCTCTCCGTGCACAATGGAAACAACTTGCTTCAGAAATGGAAACCTTGGCCCTGTGGTATAACACGATAATTATTGTCAGGTCCAACACATATTGAAGGTGAAGGTGAAGGTGAAGGTAAGCCTGAAAAGATGAAAGATCCATACTATAATATTTAGCTTTTCTTTTCATAAAAACTGCATGATGTCTTCATGGGGATAAAGTAATTGCCTTTTCAGGCGGCCCTGATGTGGACTTAAAAAACAAGGGGGCGGATAAATGTGTGGATCTTATACTGTATACATACATTTTAAGATTTGAGTTACTTGACTGCAGAAGCACTGTGGAAATGAGGTTATGGTCCTGAAATGAAGATGAGAGGAACTGTCTTTTCAAAGCCCGTAGGTAAGCTAACGTGGGCGTGCTGCTGAGAAACAGGGATTTGTCTGCTGAATTACTGCCTTCAAACTGAATTACTGAATTACCTCTCTGAAATGCAAATGAAAAAACAGTGAAACAGAAGCAGAGCTGTACAGTAGTGCAAGTTGGCATCTTAATTAGTTCCTCTGTGACAAGGTGCTCATTCAGTGTTGACAAGAAGGACAAGTTAATGCTGCAGGGGAAACTGACAGGTGGTCTTTGTCTCTTTTTCTGTCTGTCTCTTTTTCCCAAACGTTGCCAGTTACAATTACCGTTTTACAGATCCTTATTGATTGGATTTTGTACACTGAATGTGCCATGTTCAACACACAACACATTGTTTTCCAACGTGCCTTTTACTTTGGCATTTTCAAAATCTATCTCCATCTCCACATGGATATATAGAAATATATATCATAAAAAGGAAGTCCCCAGTTCTGAGATGCACATAGGGAAGCGGTATTTCAAAGGGGCTTAATGAAACCCAGCAACCTTCTTCTCAGCATGCTAGATTATGAATATTTGCATAACAATTTGTGAAATGGGACCACTCTGAGGTGTGGTAAGGCAGATGATGAGGGCATAGGAGTTTTTCCACCATTTATGTTTATGCAGAAATTTGATACACAGTATCCCAGGGTTCAGTGCGTCCAAAAGGCTAAATATCAAAGGTGGCAGATTAATTGTTGTGCTGGCGTGTGATGACTGCAAAACTCCCTCAAGGACATGTGTTGCTAGCTAGGCAGGTTACCTCTCTGTCAAGGTCAATTCAGGACACAATGACAGATGCAGAAGTCACCCCTGACCTCATTTGTACTGCTTTCAAGAAGTAACACTGACTTATAATGTACCCCTACTATTTTTCCATATGTATTAGCTGCATTATGTTTCAATGACACATTTTCTAAATTGAAAAGACTTTCAAAGTATTCATCCTTTCAAAGAGCATACATTAGGATGTCTTTGTCCTTCTTTAGAAGAGAATAGGGGAGGGATGAAACCCTCTTTAATGGTCACACATGCAGAGCACACAGCACACACAGTGACATTTGTTCTCTGCATTTAACCCATCCTAATACCAGGAGTCTAGTACTAGGAGCAGTGGGCAGCTATTGTACAGCGCCCGGGGAGCAATGGGAGTGAGGGGGGAAGGGGGTTGTCCGGTGCCTTGCTCAAGGGCTCCACGGCACGGCAGGAGGTGAACTGGGACCTCTCCAAGTAGCAGTCCACACTCCATATTTAGGTCTGGTCGGGGACTTGAACCGGCGACCCATACGGCTCACAGTCCAAGCCCCTACTGACTGAGCCACTGCCTCCACTGTCTTGCTTGTGTGAAGGTGTGAATGGAAAGCATTTCTGTGGCCCTTTTATAATACATTTCCTCTGTTTCAAACAACAAATTATACATAAAGCAGAAGCTTTAAGTTTCACCCTGGACACTTTTAACACTATACATTTGGTATTTGTGAGTGGTTCTCTGTATTGTTATATAAAATATAATGCACAGGTTAGTTAACAAGCATGAGCATCCCAGCGCTGGGATACACTTCCTGCCGCCTTTACCATCTATTCTGCTGATAGACAGTTGGTGTTGCTAATGTACAAAGGAGCATAGCAACAAACCCTCAATAGGGCTCTTACAATAGTCCCTTAATATACAGAGAGATTAGACCAAAACATATTGTTAATAATTACAGGGTTTATGAATAGTTAATTTGAGAGGGATAACTGAAGCAGGGGAAAAGTAATAATTAATGTGGCCGATGGGACAGTGGGAGGATACTTAATTACATTTCGGCACTAAGAAAGACCCCTTTTTGAAGTTGTTTGAAATATGACTATGTTTAAAGACAATTTGTAGAAATGCAATTTACACAGTAAGTAAAACCAAAAGAGATGTTTGTTGCATGATGTTGCTTGGGCATAAATTGAGTATATTGTTAGCTTTTTGCCTAAGGCCCGTCCACACAGCGGCGTGCGTTGACGCTTCACCATTCACTTTGAATGGGGTGACGTCACTTTTCACCGAACTGCATCGTGGGAAGCGACGCGGACCGTTGCTGGCGTGGTTCGCTGCAAAAGTTGAGCAATGTTCAACTTTTGACGCCTCGGCAGAAGCGTCAGCCAATCGAATCATATGCCAGTACAAGCTCTAGCCAATCAAACCGCTGCTTGTGTGTCAGGGGCGGGAGATTCATGTGATTGGTTGTTGGTCGAGTTTCAGACACGCCCGCTGGCAAGCGTCAACGCAAACTATTGGGAATCTTTCAACCCTGATAAAAAAAATTGCTTGTTTTTATTTAAACAAGGATGGTTGTCA